CGGGTTTGAGACCCGCCTGGGCAACTTGGCGAGACCTCATCTCTACAATAAATCAAAAAAAATTAGCGAGGCGTGGTAGCACGCGCCTGTAGTTCCAGCTACTTGGAAGGCTGAGGTGGAAGGATCACTGGAGCCCAGCAGGTCGAGACTGCAGTGGCCGAGAGCATGCCACTGCACTCCAGTCTGGGCAACGGAGTGAGACTCCAACTCAAAAAAAAAACCAAATAGAGAATGTCTTTAATGTGCATAGACTTTCTAATATTCTTTTAGATTCTGCTGAGTTTTCCCATTGCTTTATATCACCTCATTACTGTTAGGGTACAGACAGGGTGAGGGTGGAGATGTGCTGGGAGGCGAGAGATACGCAGCACTGCCAGGGCTGGCAAACCAGAGGTGCGCGCTGAGAACCCAGAGATCCGAGTAAATTGCAAAGAATTGCGACACACAGAGGTGAGAGAAGAAAAGATTTATTTAAGAAAAGTTCACCTCCCACAGACAGGAAGTGGGCCTACACTCTAGATGAGTGTGGCATCATAGCCCCTCAGAGTCCTGGCTTAAATCCTTCTCTTGGAGATGTTGCACATGACTGCTGTGACTTCCTTATTGACCATCTGTGAATGTCTTGGAGAACCTGTGACACAGAGACCCATTAATGTTTGCCCACATTATCATAGCCCCTAGAGAAGGGCGTGACAAGGATTCTAATTCTCCTGCACCTTCTCAAACAACGTTCCTTAGACCTAAAGGAGTGTGTGCCTCCCCTTATCTCCTAGGCATTCCCAGTGGGTAGCTTCGGGGCATCCTTGACTTCCCTGTAGAAAGTGCCCAATTTACTGGAAGATCGAAGGAGGGTGCTCTCCCTCTGAGCAGTTATAACTTTTGTAATTACAAGTTTCATGACTTTTACAGTCCTTGCCCAATGCATGATGTCTTAGGGCTTGTAAATTCCCTTTACTCTAGGCAAGCTTGATTGCCACTATGAGATACCTCAGATACCTGGAGGTCTGTTTCTGAAAAGACAAAGTCAGTAAAGTTAATTATACCTAAAGTGTGCATTTCTCCAAAAGTATAGCTTCTACTTTCTCATCATTGTGTCAGAGTTTAAGAACAAGATGTTCGTGACCCGCCTGGGCAGCGAGACCTCATCTCTACAATAAATCAAAAAAATCAGCCGGGCGTGGTAGCGCATGCCTGTAATTCCGGCTACTTGGAAGGCTGAGGTGGAAGGATCACTGGAGCCCAGCAGGTCGAGGCTGCAGTGGCCGGGAGTGGCCACTGCACTCCAGTCTGGACAACAGAGTGAGACTCCAACTCAAAAAAAAAGAACAAGATGAAAAATGACTTCCCATTCTCGGTCTGTCCTTTCAATTACTCTCCTTTTACAAGTAAATAGCTTCTTGGCTTTAGTTTCCTTTTCTGACCTCATAGCCTGGCTAGGTTTTTGCACCATCGAGCCCCACACCTTCCCAGTTGAAAGCAGCATTGCGTACCTTGTGCTGCCAGGAGGCCAGCAGTGCTCAGAATTGTTTCTGTTTGGGTTTGCAGGGACCGCCTGCTCCCACAGTGGATTCCGTTGCTCGCCGAGTGTCCTGCCATCACTCGGATGTATGAGGAGAGCGCCCTCCTTCGAGACCGCATGACGGTCAACTCCCTCATCCGAATCCTGCAGACCATTCAGGACTTCACCATTGTCTTGGAAGGATCTCTCATCAAAGGAGTGGACGTGTAACCCAGCTGGCTAGAAACTCAGTCCAAGCTTTGCTCCTGAACCTTCCCCAAATACGGGGAACGATTTGGACTTGTCTGACAGTAGTGGGTCACTGCAGGGCAACCAACATATGCCCCAAGTTGAACAATCCTCACTCTGCAGACAAGGCAAAAGGTTGTATTGTAGTTCATTTGAACCTGGAATTCAGTATCAAATAGAGTATTTTCATGTGTTAGATGTGTGTAAATATGCTATCTTCTTTAAGAAATTATATTACTCTAATAAGATGTTTTCTTAGATTGAATATTCCTGTGACTTAAAGTAGCTTAAAAATGTCGAGGATTAGGGGGAAGAGTGGTGCTAGCCAGGAAGAAGCCAGTACACATGTGTAAATATCACGCCACCCAGTCGGGCTTTTTTTCCTCCAGGTATCACAAAGGAACCCAGAGTGCATTGGTAGGTGGTAGCCGTCCATCCTGGTGTCTTACCCTTTGTTCTATGAATGTATACAACTTTACCTACTGTACTGAGAGTCCTCCTCACTGGTGTCTTTTAAGTTACAAACTGTTTTATACATTTGAATTGTGAGTCACTTTTCCAGTTTTTCTGGAAAAATTTTCAGTCGGCACAGATGAAGATAATTCAGGTATTTTAAATACTAGACCCCAGGAGCTTGGTTGAACTGGAAAGAGAACACACAGAGCCCTGAGAAGTGTGTTAAATTGTGGGATTATAACTTCTTTATACTTTGGAAAGATTAGCCTAGACTAACTTCATTCTTGGCATTTTTATTCTTGTTATTTGAGGTACTTTGGGGAGATGTGAATTTCAAAGCGTTAGACTCATAGTTTGATTCTGTACTTTTAATTTGCCCATTTAAACTCTGTAGTGGTCCTTTACCTCTTAAGGATAACCTCCAGCCCTGTCTTTGTTAGGTTCCAATCACCCCCCCATGCCCATCCCCCCTCAGGAAATGGAAGGAATGTCTAAAAGGGAGGGGGACTCTATGTAGCTTGGAATGTTTTTGTGAAAGTATTTGTTGACCATGATAATGCAAATAACAGAAGGAGCAAGAAAGAATGAACCCTTTCTGGGTGTTTCAGGGCAAGCTTTATGTTCCTTTGTGAGATGGGCTAATAATGTAAAGCAAATGGCCCAGAGAATTTCAAAGCCACTGCAGTGCAGACTGACAAAATGGAAGCAAAACAAGAGGCAACAATTTTGAAAGACCAAAAGTTGTAACTTTCCAGTTCGATATTTTAGAAAGAAGTTAAGTAAGTGTAGTGCTAGCTAGTTACCCTCCATCTTCATCTTCTGGTAGGTCCTGTGACTCCAAGTAGGCATTTGCACATTGCTAGCTGGGAAATAGTCTCCGCACAGCTCCAGGTTTTGTTCCCAGCTGTGACTGAAAAGTGAAGCTGTGGCCACTCGGGATTCCTTGTGAAATCTGAGGTCCTGGGCTTAAGTCAACAGTGTTGTTTCCCTTACTTCTAATGGAACAAGTGCCTCACCCCCGTTATAAAATGCTGTATCCAGCCAGCAAACTGAGCATGTGGCTTCATACTTGAGAAGGGGAGCTGATGGCTGCATTTAGAAACCCATGGAAATGGTTTAAGAAATGGTTCTGCGCCTTTGGGAGGCTGAGGTGAGTGGATTGCCGGAGCCCGCGGGTTCGAGACCCACCTGGCAACTTGGCGAGACCTCATCCCTACAATAAATCAAAATGAGCCGGGCGTGGTAGCACACGCCTGTAGTTCCAGCTACTTGGAAGGCTGAGACGGAAGGATCACCCGAGCCCAGCAGGTCGAGGCTGCGGTGGCCGGGAGCGGCCACTGCACTCCAGTCTGGGTGACAGAGTGAGACTCCAACTCAAAAAAAAAAAAAGAAGAAATGGTTCTGGGTCCTGGGTAGACCAGAGTGTGTTTGCCTGAAGCTAAAGTGTGTCTACAGTGGTGTGGCTGTTTCAGGGACTTGGGAGGTCTCTCATGGGGACATCCAGAACCTGTTTCACATGGCTGCTACTGTGCTGAGTGACCATAAACAAGAGAGTGTTCCAAGTTCAGGTTTCATGCTTATATCTCTCCCATGAAGCCACGCTTCTGACAGGTTCTGGGCAGCCAGAGGGATTGCTTAGGTTGGTGTGCTAGAATAGAATCATCTGACCAGGCACAGTGGCTCATGCCTATAATCCCAGCACTTTGGGAGGCCAAGATGAGAGCATGCCTGAGCCCACAGGTTCAAAACCAGCCTGGGCAACTTGGCGAGACCTCATCTCTACAATAAATCAAAAAACTAGCCGGACGTGGTAGCGTGCGCCTGTAGTTCCAGCTACTTGGAAGGCTGAGGCGGAAGGATCGCCGGAGCCCAGCAGGTCGAGGCTGCGGTGACCAGGAGCGTGCCACTGCCCTCTAACCTGGGCAACAGTGAAACTTCTACTCAAAAAAAAAAGAATAGAGTCATCTAGCTCAGCCTTCTCACTTTATAGATGGGAACACTTAGGGGTCAGAGAGGTTAAATATTATCCTTATCCCACAGCTGGTCACTGACAGCACAGACTCTAAAATTAACATCATCTTATTGCATCAGGCTAAATGAGACCGACTTTCCAAGCATTCTTTCTGCCGTTGGGTCTTTATTCATCTGCCTACACAAGGGGGAAATAAGGATTAATCCTCATTTATAATATTCATTTGTAAGGACTAATATTCATCATAACACATTTTTAACACATCACTCAAGTTATTGAGAATTACATCTGTTGTAAAAACTGGGAGCAAAGTTGGATATGGGGTCTGTGAGTGAAGCCATTAATTTAAAAAGTAATACTTAAAAAAAGTGATTACTGAAGTTTCACCTTCATACTTTGTACAGTATGACTATCCCAGTGAAATGAATGATTAAAGACACATCTTCTCAGACATGGGGCCCTTTAGTCAACTTGGGAACCACACACTTATTGCAGTGAGACAGCCTGTGCCCGAAGACCTCCTTGTCAGCTGCTGGCCAATACCCCCCTTCTTTTGAATATTCCCGATGCTGGTAAATTTGGTCTATAAGAATACATTTAATATTTGGAAACAATATAAAGTTATTAGGGTCCAAGCTTAATGAATAAAAAGATAGAAAGGATGCATAAGCCAGGTGTGGTGGCTCATGCCTTTAATCCCAGCACTTTGGGAGGCTGAGGCAAGAGGATTGCCTGAGCCTGGGATTTTGAGACCAGCCTGGGCAACATGGCGAGACCTTGTCTCTACATAAACCAAAAACTTAGCCGGACATGGTGGCACACGCCTATAGTTCCAGCTACTCGGAAGGCTGAAGCGGAAGGATCGCCTGAACCCAGAAGGTCGAGGTTGAGGTGGCCGTGGGTGCACTCCAACCTGGGCAACAGAGTGACACTTCGACTCAAAAATTTTAAAAAGGATGCTTAAGCTGAGTTTGGGGTTACATAAGAAGTGCAATGATAAAGAAATAAGATTAGTCAGGTGTAGTAACGCATGCCCATAGTCCCAGCTACTTGGGAGGCTGAGGCCGGAGGATCACTTGAGTCCAGTCCAGGCCACATAGCAAGACATTGTCTCAAAAAAAAAAAAAAGACTTAATTCTTCCACAGCTGATAACTCAGTCAGTGCCAAAATATTTTGAGCACAACAGTAGCAGAATTCTTATAATAAGTGTGCGTAGCTTTTAAGCTGATTTTTTGGAAGGACCATATCCACATAGAGGTATCCTTTCTGCTATGGTAATTTTAAAAATATATTACTTTAGAATCACATCTCAAAATTAAAGTAAGTAAAAATCAATGTTTTAATTGGCTTTTTTCCTCCAAATAAATGCTTGGGACCATACTTAGTATTTTCACATAGTAATATCTTGAGAAGAAATTGTTTTAAAATTAAATTGCCAAAAATATTACCTCCTGTAAAGTATATCATCCAGGTGTTTTTAATACATCATGGAACCCTAAATCTCGACCTTCATGACACAGTGGCATTACACCCACATGGGTATTAAATGTTGGTATTGTGTGTGAGATCTAGGTGAGGAAAGACAGGTACAGAAGACAAAAGTAGGCCCTCCCACCCAGCTTTCACTGGAAATGAGAATCTGACATAGGAAGCCTAAAGCTTGCGAAGTTTAGATCATCCTCTAAAACTTATTTTGAATGTTTCACACAACTTTTGTAACCCTGTGGTATTTACTTTTCACGTGGCTTTTTAAAAAAATCATTTTAATAAACTTCTGTCATATTATATGAATGATATGGGGGAAATAGTAAGCTGCTCATATTTCCTTTTTTGGCAATAAAGCACTGTTGTATGTAAATGTGAGTGAAAAAGAGAGGTCAAGACTATAAAGAACAGCTTCCGAGTAGTACATGTTGACACCCCTAAGTATTTTGAAATGTGAGGCAGCAGACAGGGCCTCAGATCCCCAGGGAGACGTCTGACAGCATTGGGAGTGTAGCTTTTCATAATGAAATCTCCCTTTGCTGATGAAAATTATAATTTTTACATAGACTTTTCATTGAGGAAACTGTATTTTCTGTGAGGTTTACAGAAACTAATCTATCCTTTTCACTATGTTGAAAGGACAATCTGAATTTCAGTATTAACACACCTTCACTGATTGAGAAGCTTGGAGCCCTTCTCTCCTTTTATAAAGTAGATCCTATTTCCAAGTCATCTGTGTCTTTTGAAGTCTCCATTTCTTATATAAGTATTTACTACATTACCGTTTAGTATAAACGGTACAAATTGAATTCCAAGCTTTTTGGAGAGGTTGCTGATGTGGTGTGACCAAAAGAATCCAAGGAGACCCTCACCCTCCCACATCAGGACAGGATAAAGACTGGCTTCAGAGAGGTCTCATATTAAGCTCGAGTGAAATAATTCCAATAAAATCTCTCCTCGTTTGAAGGGATACAGAGAACCCTTGGGGTATGTAGGAGGGAATCATGCTTGGTCCAGTTACCTGGATGTACTTGGGTCCAGTCTTGATTCTAAACACCAGTTCTTGTTGACAGTGGAGAGGCATGGTAGGGAGTTCCCAGTGTCAGTCAGCTAAGGGTGTGAAACGATGAAGTCCTCTGTGTTACACTTGAACCATGTATAAATGTACCCTGTATATCTTTTTTTTTAATTAGCAGTTCTGCATTTAAATTATATTGTTTTTCTTTGTATTGTTAACAAAATTCATCAGAACTGGATTTTTTTTTCCTCATCTGACCATAATATAAAATTTGAAGAGTATTGTGATATTAAGCACTTTAACAAACATATCAGACAAACTGAGGTGGGTTTTTCAGGTTTTGGAGTACATTTAAATATGACTTTTCATGCTTTGTTCTTTACAAATAAAACTGTGGGGTTGATACTTTGTTTTGCTTCATTATTGTAGAATTTTGAAACTGGGTGTTTCACAGGATAAGAGACTTGAGAAAGCAGACAGATCAAGGCCAGGTGTGGTGGCTCACACCTATAATTTCAACACTTTGGGAGGCTGAGGCTGAAGGATCACTTGAGCTCAGGAGTTTGAGACCAGCTGCATTACACAACAAGACCCCATCTCTGCAAAAAGGTAAAAAATAAATTAGCCAGCATGGTTGTGTGCGCCTGTAGTCCCAGCTACTTAGGAGGCTGAGACAGGAGGATTGCCTGACCTCAGGAGGTTGAGGCTGCAGTGAGCTGTGATCATGCCACTGGACTCTAACCTGGGCGACAGAGTGAGACCCTGACTCAGAAAAAAGAGTAAATATGAAATATATTTATGAACTTGGGAACGGTAATTTTTGTTTGTTAGTTTTGTTTTGTTTTGTTTTGAGTTGGAGTCTCACTCTGTCACCCAGACTGGAGTGCAAT